GTCACCAAGATTTCCTCATTCTAACAGGACTCCTGAAGGGTTCAAGTTCACCAGCTGCTGCAACAGAGTGTGTTGTTGACAGCCCAGTTCTTACTCTCATGACAAATGTGACATCAGCCGTGTGACTCCTCAAACTCTGATTGTCAAAACCTTGTTGAGAATCTACCACCTAATTACATCTTTTCTTCTTGTCTCAGTTTCCGACTGTTGCTGCAGCTTTGCCAGTGTCTGTAACGTGGTGTCTATAATTGCCTACTCTGACATTAGATTTCTTACAGCTGGATAAATAGTGACACGATAATGTCATATTTGCCCAGGGTAAAAAAAAAAAAAGTTTTTTTGATGGAGGCTTTTGTACAATTTTCAGCTTTCTGCTTCTCTGTAATAAAATGCTTTTTCTGACTTTGAGATCTCTCGTATTTATGTGGCCAGAATTCCAGATCAGAAAGTGGGAGGGCCTTGCAAGGGCCAGCGTTTCTGGAGTAATAGGAATTTCCAAGGAATTGGAAAGAAATTTCCAGTGCAGCCAAAGGTCTGAGGAGAAGGAAGACCTAAACCCTGCCAAGTGTTATACCCGAGGCTGTCAGTGCCGGTTTCAGGTGACACGTGTCACGGCAGCCCTTCGGCGCACTCAGGTAAAGGTGCCCTCCTGCAGTGTTTAAACTTGTCTTAAGGAAAACATTCCTGGAGTGCAGCAGCAGTGAGGGAGCAGCCGGGGACGCTGCACAGCTCGGAGGGGCCGCCCCGGGCTCCTCTGCTCGGCCCGCCCCGACAGCGGCCTCGGAGGTGGGCGGGGAGGGGAGATGGGGGACCCTGAGCTGGTGCTGACCGACCTTCCCGGGGGATGGGGGCTCCGGGCCAGCTCCGTGGGCTCGGGGATGGAAAGTCCCGGGGACAAAGTAAGTCTGGGCGCGGTCCCCTCTAGCGGCGACTTCCACTTCCCTGCTCTTCCCTCCCCGCCCCTCACACAGCGCACTCTGCATCTGTATTTCAAATAGTTTAATTTTAAAAATATTCTATTCAGTGCTAAAATAACTTTCCACTTCCACGCGCGGCCGCGCCTTCGGCTTCGCCAGGCTGGATGACAGACTCGGCGGGACATGCAGTGGCGGCGGGGGGAGAGCGGGGCTGGGGGGCAGCGGGGTTTGGGGGGAGCAGAGCCCCGGGCAGGGAGCGCTTCCCGGGGGCTCCGGCACCTGCCGCGCGTCCTTCCCGGTGCCGGGGACGGCGGGTACGAGGGGCAGGGACCCCCGGCACAGGGCAGCGGCTCCCCCTGCTCTGCCGGCTCCCGGGGGGCAGAGCCGAGGCCGGCCAGTACCTGCCCTCCGGGAGGGGAAAGCGCTCCCCTCTCTCCCAACACCAATGGCTTAAACCAGCAGCTTATTGCACAGCGTCCCAGCGGGTCCCTGCCGGCCTCCCCCCACTGACCCCGCCCCCAGCACCGCCTGCGCCCACCACAGAGTGGAAACATCACCTGGAGCAGGCGGGAGGCAGCTCTCCCGTTCCCAGCGCCCAGGGAAGGGCAGGCAGGGCAGCCACGAGCAGGCAAACAGCATCTGCCAGACCACGGGAGAGCAGGGAGCCCCATGGAGAACCTCCCACCCCAGGCGTGCAGCCCACCCAGCGGAGCCCCGCAGCTCGAGGGCACGGAGCAGGGAGAGAGGGAGCCAATAAATAGAGGCAGATTCGCAGGTACTGGCGGTGGCCCCGTCCGTCGGGCAGGGCAGGGCAGGACAGGGCGGGGCAGGGCGGGCTAGATGCGAGTGGTGGGAGCCCCGACGCTGGGGAAGGGGCAGGCTGGGGGGAAGCGCCGGTGCCGGGGGCCAGGCAGCTCTGCGAGGGGCTGGCGAGGGTGCCGGGCAGGCTCAGCTCTCCGAGGCCGTGTGGCACACAGAGTTCTGGTCGGCACAAAATCTCTTCAGAGGCGGCGCACCGGAGTCCTCCTCCTCTTCAGTTACCTGCAAGAGCCAGAGGTCACGGGCAGTGACACTGAGCCACGCACAGCCAGACAAGGCTCTGTCACACCCTGGGGACACCCCGGGCTGTCACCTGTATGCAAACCCCAGGGCACCAGCAATGGGAACCCACTCCAGCCCTGGAGCCCGCCACAATCGTCGTTTTCCCAAACCCCAACATCGCTCCCTGATCCTTCCCATCCACACTTCAAGGCCTGATGTGAACCAGGGGACGGGACAGCTCAGGAAGCCAGAAGATTTGGGGAGTCCCTGGGGGGCACTTTGGGACTGCAGAGCAAGTCCATCCATCCAGATGTTTCTGGTGCAGGGAGCAGCAATGAGGGTGAAAGGGGCCGTGTACATTTAGAGGTGGTTTTGATGCCCTTCCCTTACCTGAGTCTCAAGGGGGACTGGCTCTTCCTTTGTGAGAGTGGGAGGCTCGTCTGCCACTTCTGAGGAAGGCAGGGAGGGCTCTGGGGAGAACAGGATGGTTCACAGCAATGCAGACCCAGCACCCAGCTCAGTGCTGAGCCAGGACAGGACCTTCAGCACAAGACACAAGTCCCCACTGCCCTGTCCACTTCCAGCAGTGCCTCGGCCACACACCAAACCACCAACAGCTCCAACGTGGCCTTCCCCAGGCCCTGCCATTCCCCTGCTCCCTTCCCAGCCCAGCACCCACCTTCCAGGGTCTCCTGCCCCAGGGTGGGGGGCTGCGAGTCGTCCGTGCGGAAGTCGGACGTGTGGGCAGGACTCATGGACTCGCTCTGCTGGGGACTGGGGCTGGAGTTGGGGCTGCTGTCCACCTTGAGCTGGTACACGTCAGACAGGGAACTCTGGTTGCTGTTCTCATCTGCAGAAACAGCACCTGGTGAAGGAGAGCACCTTGACCCGGGGGCACGGGCAGCCGAGTGCGGCACTGTGAGCCGGGGTCTCGCCGAGAAAGGCAGAGCACTGTCAGAGGAGTGGAACGGGGGATTCACTGTGCCCTGTCAGCACAAGGGCTGCTGGGCACAGGGCTGTGCACCAGGACACCAGGGGCATCACAGACACAACTGGCCAGGGGAGAGGGAACGAGTCTGAGCAGACAGACCCCAGGGTGTGCAACAAAGCAGGAGGCAAAGGGGCTGCACTGCCAAGTCT